AGTGGCGAGTGGCGAGGGCACGGATGCCCGGAGGGGTGGCGAGCGGATCGCCGAAGAAAGGAGCTGGTGGTCCCCATTGGGCAACACCGTGAACGACGTGGTGTGCACCAACCAGCGGGCAAAAACGAAAGCTCGAGGAGCGCGAGCTCCCGAAGGGCGAGGGGACGAGGATCCTGGGCTGCGAGCCCTTAACCTATATACTACTAGAGACAAAGCAGATGTAAAGCGGCGAGGGGGTGGCACGAGTTACGCTGTCATAGACCCTGGACAATAATCATTGTCCAAAACACCAGAGCTGTGCGGTCTGGGGAGGAAGAGCGCAACCGTGGGAGACGGGACATGGCGCGTCAATGGGCGTGGAAAGGCAAGCTTAGCGACATCTGCGGGTTGCACGCATTGGACGAGCGATTCCAGCTCAACCAAACCCCCTTTAGCGCCAGCCACGGCGTCGCGTCCGTCAGGTGACCGTACCCCCGTGTGTTAGCGCCGTCCCCACTACATATATACCTATTAGTACTAACGTCGCGAATACAGTAACGGCCATCCATATAGTCGCGTAGACCACTACAGCAACCGCTATATTAGTCCGGACCCTACTTCAAGTCAAGGTATGAGTACATCCTCAAGTCGTAATACCCCCGGGTCCTCCATCTCCTTCCGTGTTTTTCAAGACAGGAACCAAGGGATCACGTGTGTCGAAGGAGAGCATTTCCATAACGCAACCCTATGTACAGAAGAACGATTGCACGCCTCGAGACCAACGGCGCACTATTTCAGGACGTCAATATCCGAACGGAGTCCAGTCCACCTCGTCGTCGTCGTCGTCGTCGTCGTCGTCGTCGTCCGGAACGTCGAGGAAATTCACGTCCTCGTCCTCGTTTTCCTTGATCACGTGAATTTCGATTCCGTCCCAGTCCACCTCCGCCACAACCTCCCTCAGCCGATTGACGTCCTCGGCCACGATGTCGGTGCACTCCCGCAGCTCGAGCATCTCAATCGGCACGCCCTCGTTGCACCGCAGCATGAGCCACCCCAGCACCTGCTCCAGATACTCCCACTCGAGCTCCGAGTACGAGAGGCCGAACTTCACGCGCTGCACCGTGTGTAGCTTCGCCGACAGCACACTGCCCCGTGCCCCGTCCCCGGCCTCGCGGCGCACCTCCGACAGCGCCTCCAGGAGCCCGAGCTGGGGCTGGCCGCTGATCGCGAGAACGCGCAGGTCCTCGACGCGCGCGAACAGCGTCGCGAAGAGGTCCTGCCAGCCCCACATCGCCATCAGCGACTGCAGCTCGAGCCTGCGCACGGCGCCGAAGAACGTCGCGCGGCGCACGAGCGCGTGATACACGCACGGGTGTGGGTACGCCTCCAGGTAGAGGTCAACGTCTGCAGCCGGCGCGGCGGACTTGTCCGCGGGCGGCCCGGCAAGGAGCGTGCGCCAGCCCGAGATGCGCATCTGCGAGGTGTAGACCGGGGAGATGCGCGCGGTGAGGAGCGGCAGGGCGCGCGAGAGGTGCTCGCTCAGGACGCGCACGAGTTCTTCTATGCCGACCTCCGTGCGCCCAGTGACGACGAGGCGCGTGTCTGCGGGGAAGGAGACGTGGTTGAGGAAGTTGGCGCAGTCGAGCACGTAGGACGAGAGGGTGAGCTTCCGGAGGTTAGGGAGAAGCACGGTGCGCTGGGACGCGGGGAGCATGCTCGAGTCCTTTGGAAGCCGTGGGATGGTGTCCCAGGAATTCTAAAGCGCGCATGTTGTCGAGCGCACTGACAAGCTGAGCAAAAGTGCCCAGTCTGGACGTGAGATCATGCTTGGCCACAAGAGTGAGGTTCGTGAGCGTCGCGCACAACACGGGGTTGTCCCACTTGACAGAGATCATATGTACGTGCAGGCGGAGGTTGGGTGTATGACCCCCGAAAAACACCGGTAGAGTGTGATACAGAGGGTGGATGGTAATGTCTGGGACGCATCTGCCACTTCCCGATAACGACAAGATCTCCAGCAACTCTGCCCCGCCTTTCGACAGAGCAGCAACGCTTTGGAAGATGGGCACGGGGCCGGTCAAGTCGAGCTCCTTCATTCGCGAGGACTCCTTCATGACTGCGTCGAGGAGCTTCCTCCTGGGTTCATCCCGGCAGGTTACATGGCCAGTGACCCAGAGAGGGGCCTTCTTCGACCGGGCGAGGACTTCCTGCGTAGCTTCAGGGTCGGACAGGACGATCCTGCTCCATAAGCGGGGTGTCTCCAGAGCGACGTGTCGCCAGGACCGGCACACGTGTGTGACAATGATCCACTTGTACGTCCGTCTGGGGCGGAAACGGGGGGGATTTCGCGTGGTTTGATACACCTTCGCGACCACCGCAAATATTTCTGAGAGGACCTCTGGAGGCAGCTTGGATATAGGAGCCATGGCGCTCAGGCGGCCCTTCAGGTCGAGGATGGCGTCGGTGTGCTTCGCGATCTCGCTCCCGAGCGCTCTGCGGGCACTTGCTGCGGCGCCCTGGTCAGAACAGGCGGCTCTGCGCTGCACTCGTAGCACCATATTTTATATAAACATAGCAAATGAGAGACCGAATGGGTATGAAGCAGAAAGGCAGCTTACAAAAACGAGCAGTGGTTGAAACACGACGGTGCGGAGTTGCAATAGATTGAACAACCGGTATGTAGTCGTCCAGCAAGCGCCTAGCAAACGTATGCTACCTATTGAGCGCGAATTCAAGTCAAGCTGCCCGAAGTTTATGTCAAGTCGTCGACGCAGACGTGGGTTGAGACAGAGGGCAGGACAACCGACAGATGGTAATTCCCTTCAACCGGTGAGAAATATAATTGCCCGCCGTACGCGTGTACTGGCCCCACGGCAAGTAGGCGCCAAAGATGCACAGTCTACCACTACTACTTACCGCCGTACATGTGGTAAGTACTAGTACCGGTGGTATTAGGGTAATATATCTATTGTGCACACGAAACTTCGGCAAAACGAGGCTACAAAGTCTCAGAACGTGCTCTTGGTTGAAGTCCGAATAAGCATGAGGTAGGTGGATCTCGATGTGAATGTTCTCGCACAGTCGAAGACTCGTGCAGATGTCATAGAAAGGGAATTGGTGTAATATGTACATGGTGACAGTCTATATGACCACTAGATTCACGCAGAAGGACCGAGCGATGGACGGAACTAGTGAGGCCTGTTCAGGGAAGCATTGACAGTTGTCGGACATGCCTTTGGTGGTTGTAGCTTGTTACACCATCGAGAAGAGGGCGTACCGTATTCAGGAATCCAGAACCATAGCTCGCAAGACTGGTGCAGATTGATACATCCGGTTGGAGAGATAATCTTATGACTGGAACTTCCGCATCGTCTGGATCTCATCAAGGAGAGGCTGAAGCTTGTCGTCGTCAATCTTGACGAGACTGCCAACGGTAGGAGGTCGGGTGAACTGTATGAAATGCAAAGTGTTACGTTTACGCACCTTGGAACGATGCTCTTTGCCTCCTCGGCAGTCACGGGACATAGGTTGGCTATCTGGGCAATCTCGAACTGGGTCAGTGCAGATTCCCGCCGTAGCGTCCTAACCAGTGCAAAGTATCAGGTTGGTCGGTAGACAGGGTGAAGCAGGATATCGTGACTTGCTCTCGAATAGCTGCCGCAGCCTCCGGCTTGTCGAACTTCGCGAAAGTCTTCACGTACTCGAGCGTCTTGTTGTACACACTAGTTACACTTCAGGATGCAAGTGAGGGCAGTAGGCCAAGAAAACGTACGCAGTATCCGGAGCAGCCTTCTCGGATGGCCTGTGTTCAAGAAGATAGCGGACCTCGGAGATGAGTAGACAACCAGCGTTGTTGAACTCTGTTGAAAGCCAAGAGCTCGCATATAAGACACGAACATAGAAAAACAGCATATACCAGGACCGAGCCTCAAAGCCGAGGCATCCTCCTCCTCGTACGCGGGACGGTGGCGGAGAGTCATGACGGCCAGAGGGAAACGTTTGTTTGCAGTTGTTGTACAAAGCCTTTTGAAACTAACATGTGCAAATAAACCCGAATAGACAAGAGAAACAGCCGGATGCCGGCTCCGCGCGGACGATGTTCGGAGGCTGTAGAACTCACTACGCGATGCAATATCCGTGATCTGCATGTCGTGGCATCTTCACCGAATTCAAAGGTTCATCTTTTCCTTGCACTCTCCTCACATATCAAACTGAGGTCAATCAAGGCTGAAGAGAGGTCGAACGCCTGACATTCCGTGGCTGACAAATCTGGCTCCGGATCGCGCATCCCGCACGAAAGCGCCTGTTTCGGCATCCTGGCGACTGCCACACAGTTCTGCAGACCGCCGCACCGCCGTCCATTCCACTCCCCTTGACTTGGTCTCTCCTGGCCATCGCTCAAGCACTTTTTCGGCTCTGGACGTTGACGGCGACGATCCCTACGAGATGGTGCAGTACGGCGCCACGCAGGGCCACCGCGATCCCCAGAACACGGTGGACGACCCAAGGACATCTCGAGAGGACGATGCGTTACTCGGTGCGGACGCGACGGCTAGGAGACCGAAGAAGGATGGGCATGCCACTCTGACGAGCTCGACTAGTAACTTGGCAAATACGATTATTGGTAGTGGTGAGTAGCTACGTTCTGCATGCGGTGTGCGTTATAATACTGACCCACGACATAGGCATGCTTACCTTCCCACTGGTAAGGAGCTTTATTTCACTGAAAGACGTGCGCTTGCTCATGGCGAACATAGGCTTTGGCGTCCGCGGGCCTCATTCCGGGCATTATTACATGCGCGTTTTCCGGAGCTGTTGGTGCTTTCGGCCTCTACCTGCTGTCACTGTGTGCAGCGAAGGCGCCCCATAGACGGGCCTCGTTCTTCACCGTCGCAGAGTTGACATTCCCAAGGGCGGCTGTCTTCTTCGATGCCGCCATCGCCATCAAATGCTTTGGCGTGTCGATTAGGTGAGTTCACATCTGACATGTTGTGACCTCAAGGCCCTCCCTACGGGGCATGCAGCGTGTCGGAGTGTTCCGAAGAGCAACGAAGACACCCTTTGTGCTAGACATGTGCTGTGTTTTGCTCGCCAGTAACATCGGAAACCGGTTATGAGAGCATATTTGCCATGACCTAGGTTGTTTATGTCTAGAGCTATATCATGTTTGCTCGAAACGAGGGAGAATTTTCTCGGAGCGAAGGTGAAGTGGATGGCGCCGAGTCTCAATCCAGTGTACAATGTGTTCACCGTAGCGCGAGGGGAAGAGGCTGGCACTGCCTGGTACGAATCTCGCTCTTAACCTCTGCTCTGAATTAAGCTGAGACGAACTTTCTACTATCTCTAGATTGCTTTGAGCAACTTTCTATGTCAAAGGCGCTGCCGAATATGCTCTATTGCCGCGAATCTTGTGTAGTCGCATATATGCTCTGCCATCTCTCTCTTGACGACGTTTCGATATCGTTAGCTGATCGCGAACTTGTGGCAGCTACCTCATCATCATCAAGTCTCTCATGCCGAACGTCGTCATGGCCCTATATCATGATTTGACTTCGCCTGACGTTAACCCGCCAACTTGGATGCTTTCAGGGCAGAACTGGATCACGCTCATCATGATTCCTCTTGTTCCCCTCACGTTCCTTCGGAAGTTAGACAGTCTTAGACATACTAGCTACGTCGCACTGTTCTCCGTCGGTGAGTCCCCGCATTGTATCCCTATAGCCGCCACGGACCGATCTGACGGCTATTGATGATGGGATACAGCATATCTAGTCGTCATCGTCATCGTCTGTTACTTCTTCCCTCTCCAGGGCACACAGAAGCCAGGAGAGATCCACCTTATCAAGTTCACACCGGGATTTGTCTCGACATTCCCAGTACAGGTGTTCGCTTACACTTGTGCGCAGAACGTAAGCTTCCCCTCTTATCATACAGGGCTGGAATGACACCTGTTCTTGCAGCTATTCCCGATATACAATGAGATACAGTCGAACAATCAGAAGAGGATGAACATCGTGATCGGCACGTCGATCGGTTCAGCAGCATTGATTTACGAGATCATCGCTGTCTTCGGGTACTTAACCTTTGGTTCCAAGGCAAATTACAGCGATGGAACATGCGTATCACCGGCTGACATCCGCTTACTTTCCTCCAGGTCGGGCCCAACATCATTGCGATGTACCCAACTACGTCTCTCTTTATCGCTGTTGGCCAACTGGCCATTGCGATCCTCGTCATGTTTTCGTACCCTTTGCAAGTGCATCCATGCAGGAACTGCCTGGATAAAGTGTTCCACGCCGGTCACGTTCCTAAGCCAGTGACGGCCACGGAAGACGACATCATCGAGGACGAGCACCATCCTAGCCATGATATGAGCGATCTGAAGCATAGCTTGTTAACGATGGCTATTGTCGCGAGTGGCTTCACGATCGCCTACTTTGTGGACGATCTCAAGCTGGGTGCGTTCATTTGTTTTTCTATGCTCACCGTGCACGAGGGTTGATCGTCCTCCGTGCCCCGTCCTATAGTTCTGTCCTTCGTCGGTTCGACTGGATCAACAACCATTTCCTTTATCCTTCCGGGCCTGTTCTGGTGGAAGGTCAGTTGGTTCTCACACGCGTACAGTTGTTCCGGGCGCTTATGTTCAAACGATACAGCTTTCACGCGATGACCCTAGCGCGAACAAATTGTTGTCGAAGGCATCACTAGGATTGGCTATATACGGAATGTTCATCTTTGTGTTCTGGTACGTTGCCTCCTGATGTGTTCCCCGACGGTCAACTGACGGTGCGACGCACTCGCAGCTTGAGCTTCAATATTTATGGGCTCTTCCACCCTGAGTCTGAGAATGTACATTAGATCGTATATACTTGACTACTGCTTGGATGCTCTCCACATGCTCTGTAATATATGATCCGTATCCTTGCTAGCTTGCCTTCGTGTTTGGGTTTGTGTGTGATGCAAGAATGAGGCGTGACCGGCCGACTCGGGCGGAGTTTTGCTGGGAGACGCTGGGCGACTTTGGAGACATATGGGCGCTAGTTGTCAGAGGACACACTTACCCTCTGACCTGATGCACCCCGGCTCATTCGCCCTCCACAACCCCTCCTGGTCGTCGTTTGCAGCCACCAAAACACTCGTCTGACAAAAGATAATGTCTGCTGGTGCGTGGTTCTGCATGTCGCTTATCGGGGGCGTCCTAGGACCCGCGAAGCGGGCCAGGCCCTTATTCCCGTTCTCCACGCTGAGCCTGCGCATCCTTTCATTTGCCCCGCGTAGATTTCATGCTACCGCCCTCAGAAGTTCCCGAGCACGCGATTCATTACACGCAACCGGGCCTGTCACTGAGTTCTGCGGATACAAGCATGGGGACAGCATCCAGCGACTCAGCCACAGCAAGCACCAGCGTGAGCGCACCCGACATCCACACTGAGCGGTCGCTGTCCGTGAGCCCTATCACCGCATCGCCCTCATACAACCTCGCATCTTCGACGTCGTCACTTGGTGCGAAGCCCGAGTCCTCCTTGAGCGTCTTAGGCGCGATGGAGCCCAGCGCGACGGCAAGCACCATTGTGGACGTCGAACCCGATCCGCAGATCGTGGAGGCGCTGAAGAGCAAGGATCGAATTTACGTCCTGAAGCTCGGAGAACAGATGGAGGCGTTGATCAAGGAACGCAGGTACGTGCTCGGGCGTATTCTGCGTCCATCCTTCTCTCTTTCTGGCGTCACACGACGACACCCGTCCCCCACGATGGCGCCACTTCGTTTGTGGGCGTGGCGACTCCTACCATTCCTGGTGAACACGATGTGGTTTGCGGATCCGTGCTAACTTCATTCTTGTTGCCACAGGCCGCGGCTCGACCTCACGCCTTCAACATCATACCAGCGACTGCTCATCCATAGATGCTCTTCCTACTACAAGCTGTCTTTAGAGAAGGATCCCGTAACGAGCAGCATCGCTGTCTATTACCGCACAGAAAGTCGGATGTGAGTCGTGTGTCTGTGGTGGAAACGACCTGTGGCTCACGCATAGCACCCCGCAGCCCTGTGCGACGTATCTGTGAACTTGTACCCGTGGAGGACTCAGCGCAACCTGCGTTCCAGATCATGCGCCGCCCGGATCGTGGCCCTCGCGGCCGACAGCACTCCCATCCTAGCTCTACCGCAGGTGAGGATGCGGACACGTCCGACGTGGATGCGTCTGAGGCTGGCAGCATCGGCGGAGTTAGCAGCGCTGCTAGTACTAGCGCCAGGCGCTACAAAACGATAGAGGAGCGCGAGGCCGAGTACAACCAGGCTAGGTCACGAATTTTCATGGGCTTCGAGGATAAGAAGGAGAAAGAAAAGGATATGAGCGCGAACTCGTCAACGTTCAGCCTTGTCTCTGGGTCAGGTTCGACGAGTGGCGGGCGCGGAAGCAGCATCGGAGACATTGACGATTCGGCCAGCTCTGCTCCAACGGAGAGCGAGTGGTCGGGACCGGTCACCCGCGATAAGAGGGATAGCCGAAGGGGTCCTAGTTCGACCAACTCTTCGGTGAGATCGTTGAGGTCCTCGGTTGCATCCTTCAACGCCAACGGTTCCGGTTCCTCTCGCAACTCGCGGGCAACGTCGCCATCGTTCACATACCCCACGCTCTATGAGCCGGCATCCAGCTCACCCTACGAGCAGGGACAGCTGGGTAACCCTCAGCCCCCGCCGCCTTCAGGCTACGTCAGCCAATACGTCTACCCTGCTTACCAGCCTCACCCTCCTGGACAGCAGTACATGGGTCAGTATTATTACCCTCAATATCACTATCCGCCTCCTTCTGTCCAGCATACCGATCCTGTCACGCCCGGGGGTCCCGACGCGATGTATCAGCCTCCACCTAATCCACCGCCGCAGCCCTCGTATCCTCCACCCTACATGTGGTCTAACTCGTCGTCGCCTGGCCAACAGCAGCCGCCTCCTCACCCACATTTCCCACCGCAGCATCCTCAGCCTGGCATCCCAACCAGCCATTATCCCGACAGCCAATCGCAAGGACACCCGATGCTTCCTCCGATGCAAAATCCCTCACAATTCCCATCCTATGCTCCAGGTCCCACACCGTATGGGTACGGCATGCCTAGTTACTACCAGCAACCGTACCAACCTGGTGCACTGATGGGTCCGCCTCCGCCCCCGATACCTAGTCAGATGTATCACTCAGGTCCTATGCCGGACCCTGTGGGATCGAACACGGGCCACGGCATGGACGGGCACCACATAAGCAGGACATCTTCTCGGAACAGCAACGGCCACGGTAGTATCAACAACAAGCGTGGTGGTGGTCCTCGAACGCGTGGTTCTTGGACGTATGGCCCCGGCGCTGGTGCCCCCGGATTCAATCATAATGTCGGTGGGCTGCCCAACGGCATGGCTCAGAATGATGCATACGGACCTCGCCTTAGCACAAACATGAGGCGCCAGTCCGGCACGTCAAGCGGCGGAAGTGCTGGCGCTAGGACCCCTGCGGACGAGACGTCATCAACAGCGGTGAGTCGCCTTCCTTCCTCGTTCCTTACTTTCGCCGGTTACAATTTTTGCTTGGTGTTGATCGTGCTGCTGTTTTTTCGCGCTCTTCTGTTCTCGATGTTCTCGACTTTGCGTTCGTGCAGTCGTCTTCTACGACTTCTTCCTCTTCACGGCGCACGTTCACCTCTACGTCGACTTCATCCAAGCATCCCCTCCCGGCACGCCCCGATTGGGCCGTTGGACTCAAGCCGCAGCATCCAAGACACCACGATCACCACAACGATGCCGCCTCGCGCACAATGTCGCCCGCGAGGATGGGCGGTGGGCCACCTCACCATCAAGCGCAGCCTGCTCTCCAGCCTAATGATTTCCCGCCACTATCTTCCGTGCCCGCAACGCGACAGCCTGTCGTTGGTGGCGCTTGGACAAACGCGTCTTTGTCGCGCGTCATGCTGCCTGGGCCGCAGGCAAACACGAATCCTCAAGGTACAGCGCTCGTCCATTACCCCACATCGCAGACCTCGAGCCCGCAGGCCCCGTCAGCACCTGTACCTACGGCCCTCGGGAGGTTGGACGAGCGAGACCCCGCGTTTGAGCGGCCGCCACCTAAGAGCGCTGAGCTTTTCAACCCGAAGGCTGGCGGTCGCAATGGTAATGGCAATGGCGGCCGCGTGGAGAATGGACGGAGTCGGGCGAACACGGGAGCTAGTGCTGCAGGTCTCGCAGACAAGCTGAACTTCATGGTTTTGGCTGATCCTGAGGGGATTGGGCGCGATGTCCCGCTTTCTGTTCATGGTGCCAGCAACGGAGAAGTAGCTGTGGCTATGGTTGCAGGGGACACTGCCGCCGCGCTCTCATAGCTTCCCTTTCCGACGCCATAGCCGTTTGACTGCTGCATTCAGGCGCTGCTTTTGCGGTCTCTCTATCGTCTCGTCTGCCTCCGGTTCTCCTGTCGTGGTGCTGTCGCGTTTTAAGGGTTGTGTCGTATCAGACTGATGTGTAATTGTCGTGTCGTCATCGTCGTCGGGCGGCGACAGACGATGTAGAGGTAGTATACTACGTTATACGCTACATTACGCTAGCTGTCTTGCTGTGCATCTGTGTTTATCCGCTCTCTGTGTACGGTGTTGTACTGTGGTATATCTTGAAATCTTAAATAGCAGACTCCAGCTGGCATAATGGATTCTGTCTCGGGTGAAGCATGAATGCCACGTTCCTATACGGTGCACGGACGGTCTGGTACGTATGCCATCGGTGTCGACGTTAACGTACATTGAAGGGTATAATGTGAGTAGAATTGGCGCGAGACTGGATCCCTGTTGACGTTGAACCATGTATGGACTCACGTGTGGTCTAATATACAACATCGGTGCTATACCCGACTCTTGTCCTTCCCTATTGCTGCGCTTGCTCGTTCAGACTCGCTCAGAAATCTGGCCATCGCGTTCTGTCACTATGGGCCTGGCGCCCCCGGAAAACCCCCGGTTCGACAAGGCAAAAAGTGCGTTCAACGGTCGCACCGTGGAAATGGGATCTCACCGTTGAATATCACCCGTCAGTTATCCGCGGCGGCAACGTGTTTTTACATCCGTAGAGATTTACCACCTGAGACGCCAAGCTGAACGGGGTTATTCCACGGTTGCTCTCGGTGTACGCAAACAAGTCTGCATGTGCCGGCCCTAAATATGGGCGCCAAATGCCAGTCGCTCTGATTCTGACCATTCTCTCGTCTACATCGACATTCTCCTGTTGCTTGTGACATCTGACTTTCATGGAACTATCTTAGGGTGCGTTGGGTACATGACTGCTGTCGTGTCTACATTTCTTGGTCCCCTTTATCACCGTTCCTAGGGTGTGCATACAGTACCAGAGTCGTCGGGCAGAGCCCAGTGATGGACGGTCGGCATAAGGTAAGTCGCAATCTTCAGAGTTGTGAGTTTCTCAGGTAAGTCCAGCTATGTTGTTTGGCCATTCTGGCAAAGATGTCGATCAGGTAAGTCACTCTTCTCAAATATCTGCATTCTCCCCGGTGAGTATTTGCTGCTCTTCCCTGAATATCTGACTCCGTCTACCCAAACTCCCATATGTGTCCTTAGTTTTGGCGTGGATGTACTGCAGGAGTGGCAAGGGTCAAAAGGACGTGGTCGT